TAATAGTCACAACATAAATCATAGGCAACCCAATAACAGTTTCAACTAGATTAATACTTACAAATAAACTTTCTAATTTAACTCATTATTGCCAAAGCCAAAACCACACGTGCTACTATTTCCATCATCATAAAAAATGTTAGGATCTCCAAGATAATTGAACTTGTCATAAACTAAGAGGTCCATATCATCAACATTAGCTTGCTCCGGAGAAATGTCTTCTTTAGCATCTTCAACATCTAAACAACAACATTTAAATAAAAACTAAGTATAATGGGGCCACCAAAATCCATTACAAATACAAAATTTAGTATAATGACCTAATTGAGAATGACGATGTTGTCTTTGGAGTTTTGATCCTTCAAGATCTTCATAAAGCAAATTTTCTATTTCATCATGATCAATGAAAGGTTCTTCCTCTTCTTCAAAAACCCAAAAGTCAATTTTATTTATACTTTCATAATCAATAGGATCATAATTCTTCTCTATAGGTAAGAATATATTATTATTTACACTTGTTAGCACTGAATTTTAAAATAATGAAAAAATCAAGTTCAAATTATGTGACAAAGCAAAATAAGTATGGTAGAAAAGAAATTTATATATTTTTTAACTTTAAATTATAGTGAACATAAACTAGTATGGTAGAAAAGAAATTTACTGTCATTGAGTCTTGAATGCTTTAACCTATTTCTCCTTTTAGAGTGAATTCGATCAAACACACTCCAATTTCTTTCACATCTAGATTTTTTTTGACCAGTCTAAAATGTTCTCTACGTTTTGGCATGATACAGTTGATGGGTGCTTGGCACTACAAGTACTTTGTGGCTCAAAATTGCTAATTACATGTAAAATGTAAAAAAGAGCTAACACTACTAACTACTAACTAGTGGTCGACACAAAAGAGCTAACAATCCCTAGTGGCCAAATGTTGCAATCACTACTAACTACTAACTAGTTGACTACTACTAATTACTAGCTATTAACTAGTAGTTGATCCAAAAGAGCTAACAATTCCTAGTGTCCGATTGTTTCTTTTGCATCCAGATGAGTTACTTGTCTGTCTGAAAATTCGAATTGCCAATTGCTGCAAGGTTAGGGCATTATGACCAAACAATTTCCACCAATCATCTATTCAATTATAAGAAGAAAATTTAACAAATTAAAAATTTAAAGAAATATATTTGTAATTGCATGCTATAACTTTTATTATAAGATTAACTAACATGGTTATTTACTTTTACTTGTTTCAATAACAAGTTGACGTTCGAAACTTCCAACTTGATCTCAAAACAATTGAGTTTTGCCCAACAATTTGGAACTGCTTCCTTTGCCCTTGAATTGAATCATATCAAGATAAGTCCATAACAAATGATTTTTTTTTTTGCAAAAATTTGCTTAATCGCACTAAAAAACTGGATTCAACCAATACCCTGCCGCATGGATATTTTTCTTCAATTACCTGTTCCAAATCCTTTTTTATAATATTTGTGTACATTTTATAGTATTTCTTCTTGTACTTGAACATGCCTTTGATTGCCTTACGTGCTTTATACATTCTATCAAAAACATAGTCAATAGAAAGTTTCTTATCACCATCAACAATGCGTAACAGACACATTAATGATTCTACAACTTTTACAATGATAAGGCAATCATTCCAAGATTTGTTATCTAAAACAATAAAGACTACTTTTTTGTTTATTAATCTCTAAAGAGTCTTGAGTCATAAAATTCTTTACAAATCACCAAAACTTTCAAATCATGCATATGCTGATAAACATTATGAAGAGCAATAAAAGTAGTAGGAAACCTAGTAGCACCTGGACAAATTATCTCAGTTCAATCTTTTCTTTTCCTCAACCAATAACCATGATTATAAACAAATTTTGTAATTGTAGTAGCTTTTCTGGAAAGATCAACCACATTTTCTAGTTTAGTAATATCTTACGTCATCAAATTTAAACAATGAGCCACACATGAAGACCAATCAATTGATTTATAGCTAACAATTATAATTTTTCCAAAAACCACATAATTTGCACCATTGTCAGTAACTATATGAGCCATATTTTTAGGTCCCACCCATTCAATAACTTCACTAAATAAATGAAACAAAGTTTGTGCATCTTTGACAGCATCAGAGGCATTAACAGATTTTCCAAAAAACTATTCTTCGAGGGCAATATATCATGAAATTAATTAATGTTCTTTATCTATTATTAGTCCAGCCATCCCCCATAATAGTACAGTCACACTCTACCCATTTTCTCCTAAAAGAGTACAAAACATTGCACTTCTTTTCTTTTTTCTTTTTGCATCTCTTAACAAGAGCACTCGAAGATTATGATATATATGAACTTTATAACTTGGTCCTATAGCAAATGCAAGATCAAATATTTGTTGAAAATAGATACAATTGACAACATTTATGGGAATGCAAGTATCATAAAAAAAATTTAGCTACTTCCATATTTGCTCGTTGCACAATTTTTTTTATTTGTAAATACACTTTTTACAATTGGTTGAGAGTTTGGGATAGTCTGCGGAACAAAAAAAATCACTAAGGTTTTTAGGTGCATTTCCTTTTTCTTTTTGATTAATTTACTGACATTTGGGTGAGAAATTTATTGAACATCTATATCATCCCATTCAAATTGTGAAACACTAGGTCCATAAGAATTCCTAAACTCAAATTTTTCTTGATTTTCTTTTTTTTGTCAACAATTTCTTTGAGAAATTCTTGCATTTGATATGCGATGTCTAGTGGATAATAGTTAAAAGCTCTTATTTCACCTTTTTTTTCTATCTAGATGTTGTTTCATTTTATTAATACCTCCACTTTTAGCAAACATTCCACAATGCATACAAGTTAAAACTTTTTTTCCATCCAACCTTTTTGTGTCTGTCACATGATCCCAAGTAATTTTTTTAATTATTCGAGTATTATTATTCATAACGCTGAAGAATACATAGAGAGGGGCCACACCGGACCTCCAAGAAATCCATGACAATGAAACTTAAAACACACACAAGTTCAATCTACTTCCTATGCACGCGAATAACAGGTATTTCTCACGTATCCATGTGAAAATCTCCCCTCTCCAACCTTGGAAGTTGTGTAACCGACTCATAAACTATGTTGAAACCAGAATCAGCTCCAACATTAGCCAATCTATCAGCAGTCCTACTTGCCTCGTGAAAAACCTGAGTAATCACTTGCAGATGATGACGCAAATCAGCCAACTTCTCAAACTCGCCTACCAAGTAGCAAGGGATGCCAATCTCACCACGCAACATCTGAACCATAAGCAGGAAGTCAGATTCCAAATGAACTGGCACAAGACCATGTTGCACAGACGATTTCATCCCATGAAACATGGTTTTCAATTCTGAAGCTAGACTGGATACTTCACCAAAAAAACAAGAAAAAACGAAGATAAATTGTCTTGATGGAGCACGCAGGATACCACCCCCGCCAGACTTGCTCAGATTTCCCCTCGAACATCCGTCCACATTCAACTTAGAAATTACTAGACTGAACACCCTTCATTTCACCAAAGAAAGCCTATGTGGCTTCATTCATCTAACAGTCGAGTCATAGAAAGCTGGCCAAGATGCAACCCTAGTAGCCAGATCAGGAAATCGAGCAGAATAAGATCTCGAAACTCCCCCAAAATCTGCAAATGAATTTGGTCGACAGATATCATTTTACCTTCAAAGAACATTAGACTCCTACCTTTCCATAAGTGCTAACATACCAAACAAGAAAGAAGCTGAAATATCAACTTCAGACAGGAACTGGTAGTAGGTCTTAGCCACCATCTCGCTAGGATGTGATGCATTGTGAAAGCTGGAGCAAATCTACCCACCACCTCTTCAAATGACTGCCAAACCCGTTTAGGTAGATCCCCATTGCAGAAAATATGGTCTATACTCTCCTCCCCTAGTTCACAACAGCACAAACAACATGAGGGATCTTGAACCTTGAAGCGGTAGAGTATATCCATCACAAGAAGATGAAACTCTAGTAGACGCAACATGAAAAAAGAAACCTTCCCAAGGAGCAATGAGTGCCATATATTAGTCGCAAAAAAGGACTTAGTAGTAGGACAATGCACCAAATGATAAGCCGATGACACTGTGAACAACCCTAATGTAGTTAAATTTCAAATCATCCTATCTGATATTTTGTTCATAGGAGGAGGGACACGCACAATGTCCTATACGATACACTGTGGCGGCCACTATTGCAGCAAAGTAATATTCCAATGCTCGTGATCTACGAAATCATCCACTGAATGCATCTCAAAAACCTTCACTTTATCACACAAAGGTCCAGTTCCTATTCAATTTTCATGCCAAAAATCAATTTCACCATTCCTCAAAATCTATCGAATGTGAGCCTCCGCCAAAGATTTGGCCATAACCATTCTCCGTCAAATACTAGATTGACCCCGAACTAACTCTACCTCACAAGGGTGTCCCTCCCAGAGATATTTAGCATGCATAAAACTAGCCCATAGAGAGGCATTTCGATGAAAAGACCATCATAACTTCAACAAAAATACCTCAAAAATAGCTTGTAATGACCTGATGCCCGCCACCACCTTCCGCCACATGGAATACCATTTCAACCAGTGAAACCTACATCCATAGTTCGAATTTTTCCATAGGAAATCTCTAAAGATTTTTTTCAGCATTCGAAACATCCCTTTAGGAGGCATAGTCACTGCTAAATGTGAATTGGGATGCAAGATGGCAAACTTTTAATTAGGACCAGCTTACTACTATAAGATAACAATTTACTTGTACACGAGAAAATTCTTCTAGCCACTCCATTACATATCTCCAAAACATAGTGTAATTTCCCTCTCCTAGCGTAGAGCGGCATCCAAGATACTTAATAGGAAAAGCTTTCCCATCACCTGAGAAATGACACGCTTCCTGATAGGGCCAAGCCTCCAATGGACTAAAAAATCACTCTTCTATTGATTCACTTACTGTCCAGACACCTTACAATATGCTTCCAAGACACGCATTATCAGTTGTAAAGAACCCTTCAACTCACTACTAAATATCATCATGTCATCAGTATAAGCTAGATGAATAATATCAGGGCACCCTCTAGGAATCTTGAAAGGGACAATAACCTCAGACCCTTATCAAAGCATTAAGGGATTGAGACAATACCTCTGCTCCCACAATGAATAACGTTGGGGAGATAGAATTACCTTGGCAAATCCCCCTTGTAGATTTGAAGAATCTTTGAGGGGACTTATTAATAATTACAGAGAACCACACGTTACTCACCAATCTACAAAAGCCAAATTGACGAAAAACTTGCAGGCTTTAGCCATGTCTGATTTAAGAATAACATTACCCCCTCTATTCGGTCTTTGAATCCTCGAGATTAATTCTTGGGCCAGAAGGAATCTATTAGATATTTGCTGCCCTTAAACAAAGTCACTTTGATTAGAAGAGATAATGTCGGGTAAGATCTTCGCCAATCTTTGTGCCAACACTTTTGAAATTATTTTATTCACAAAGGTACACAGACTAATCGGCAGGAATTGTGAAAAATCTTAGGGTGAGCTAATTTGGGGATTAAGATAATAGATGTTGCAATTATACTCCTCTGCAACTCAACTCCATAGAAAAAACTACACACAATAATATACACGTCAGTAGCCACAACTTCCCAAGCAAACATAAAAATCATCCTTGAGTACCTATCCGACCCAGCCACATTGTCAGCATCCATGAAGAAAATAACATCTTTAACCTCTTCTAAGGTAGGGAACCACTCCAAATCAGCGTTATCCTGGTCAGTTAATTGCTTTGGAATCACGTCTAACACTTGAGAATGAAGAGGACCCGAATTAGTTGAAAATAGCTCCTGGAAATAGGATACAACCTCCTTTGCAATCTCAACTTCCGCTTCCAACCATTCGCCACTCCTGGATCTAATCCGATGGATAACTGCTTTATGCCTCCGTTTAGTCACAACAGCATGAAAAAATTTTGAGTTCCTATCCCCATTCGAGAGCCATTGCAATTTTGCTTTATGATGCCAGAACATATCCTTATTAACCTGCGCATTACAAAGCTTTGCACTCAACTCAATCAAATGGATGCGGTGATGATCTGAGGGGTTTTCATCAAAACAAACTTCCAACTGTGACACCTCCCACTTTACCACCATAACCATGTTAAAAATATTGCCAAAAGATTCTCTTGACCAGGCCCGAAGCATACCTTTCAGATGACGTAACTTCGCAGCCAAGATGTACAACAGATCCCTTACAAAGTCCACCTGCCAGTTTTTCCGTATTAAATCCATCAGCGAGTCGTGCGTGGTCCAATAATTTAAAAATAAAAAAGGTTTAGCCGAATTATCCAAACGAGTTGTAGTAGACATCAAAACAGGAGCATGATTAGAAGGAGCTTTACTCAAATATTGAACTACAAAACTAAACTCCAAATCCATTGCCATTTGATCATAGAGCAATTTGTCTAGTCGCTTCCATATCCTAGCACAGCCCTACCTATTATTACACCACGTGTACTTGGATCCCGAAAAACTCGCATTCGCCAACCCAGCTACAGATATAAATGACAGCAACTCCACACTTTTCCATGCCTAAATGGTACATCCCTTCTCTTCTCTTCCTCTGCCACCACCATATTAAAGTCACCAACGATAACTCAAGATTAAGACAACGACCTATCATTCAACAAAGTTAGCTAAAACACCGCACGATCCTCCACCGTCCATTTGGCATCGACAAAAGAAAAAATCACTGGAAATATGACCATATAAGACTGAATTTTAATCGACAAATATTGGTCCGACTTCCCAACAAAGTCACAGACAGATGAGTTAGAGAAAAACACCCATACCAAACCATCATCATTCAACAAAACTAAATCCATTCAAAACTTTATTTTGATGGATTGAATGTTAACCCGAGTTGGAGCTAGTTTTGGTTCACACAAGCCAACCCTTGAATATCATATTGAAGAATTAATGTTGCAATCTACGAAGATTAGGGGTACGAGACACACCTCTTATATTCTAGAAGAGGTAATTAATCATCAAATAAAGCAGCAAAAGAGTTAGTTGAAGCTTTAGACTTGGAATGTAGTAACCTGTCTGATGGGAACTTTGCTCTCACCCCCTTCTGCTTCAGATTAGAAATCAATTGAAAGCCATCGCTGAGCTGGATTCTGTCCTGGACCTCTTGAATAATTAGGTCTAAGTTGAAAAAATCAAGAATTGACGATGTTGTCGTTGATTACAGTTGGTCCGAACTAAAGCGAGGAGATAAACTCCCTCTTGCCATTTCTGGTCGCTACAACTCACCTCCATACGCAAACCCTCCCTCATGGTGATCATCATGAACTTGATCCCTTGTTGTGTAGGCTATGCATACTTGCTATCCCCCTCTAGAGGTAAACTTTCGTCCATTGAACAAGTCCCTAATAAAACTAGCTGCTGCGAAGATGCACCTAAGTTTTGTGCATCCACATCAGTAATCTGCACCTAGTGCGAAGACTCCCCATCCAGCCGGCCTACCTACTTTGCTCCAGGTCTGCATCCTTCCAATCCCTCCATCATCGCCAACGAAGGTGACAGCCTCACCTATGCTGCCTCCCCAACCTTCTCCACTTTTTCCCAGTTCCTGTATTAGGAGCTGTATTTACTTTCGCCTTAGCAGCCTTCGCCTCAAGATCGCCATGAGCATTCTGCTTCTCCAATCCCTCCCTAGGTTGCTTTGGGTGAAATTCAACAATAACAACCCTTTGCTCATGACGCATCACTTGATTTCGTTGCTGATTAAACCTATCCCATAGCTCTGGATTTCGAACTCGATAATCAACTTCAGAGTGCCCCTGCCAAAGCAAAAGCTACAATATAGTGGTAGATTCTCAGGCTCAAGTGGTTGCCAAAAATCCTCTGCGTCATTGGTGCCTACCCCAACCCAAACCCGCTTCGGTAACGGATTCAACAGGTCGATTTCCACACAGACTCGAGCAACACTAGGCGGGGACAATGCAATTGTGGCAGAATCCATGAACAATGGTCTACCCAAGCAGGAAACTATATGGAACAAACACTCCTTTTTGAACAAATGAATAGGCAGCTTCGGAAGTGAAAATCAAACTGGAGCAATCGCTAGCTCCTTGTCAACGTGAAAAGAAGGGGAGCATTTAAACACTCGCATAGGGCACCCATAGATATATCATATATTCCGTCCCCAAATTTGGTGAAAGTCCGTTTCGTTATTCAAACAAATTAGCACATGTTGATGTTCCAACAAGCCAACCATGGCAATATCTTTCAAATCTAAGGCGGAAAAGAATTTATGAATCTCCTCCATACGTGGTCTTCTCTTCGAGAATTTTTCCACCAAAGATAGGTGGAAGAGAGTTGTGATATTTACCATGTCATGACTTCAGAAAACCATAGCTTGTTCTCCCTTCTTGGTTATCTTGTTGACCTGCAACTCCAATGCTAGCTAGTCCCAAAACGAAAATAAAGAGAAGAAGGACTTCTGGTGAAGCGAGGGTAGTTTACAAACGGTGGTTGCCCTCCAACCATTGGTTGAAAGGCAGCTGAAGTGGCCATGATCGGCAATAACTCTAACGAGAAACCCTAAGCATCAGTTGATAGGAATGACTTTCTTTTCTAATCCTAAGTAATATCAGACTTACTTCTAACACTTAGAGATGGGTTAGATTGTGAACTAGAGTTGCATGCCAAAGAAACTTCCATTTTTAAATTTTTGCATAAAATTGAGTTTGTTTTAGTAATCAAGTGACGAGTGTGACATAACAAAAATGCTAATCTTTTGAATAATTAACATAAGCAAAAAAAAATTCTAAAAGCAATTGAAAAAATGATGAAGTACATAATAATAGTTTATCGTAATTGATATTCTGCAGGTTTGTGACATGGCACATTAACTTATGATTGGTACCTATTTAGTCACATCTAACATATAGGGAAAAATATTGAAATAGGTCATCTACTGTATTCTAGTTTTATAGGAAATTAGAACCAGGTTCAATTTCTTTTTTTCAAGCTCCGTTTTTTCTTTTTTTTGCCAAAATGTTCATATTCAGAATTGAATGTCACACAAATTAATAATGTATCACTATTCTTAAATCTACATAATACTAGGTTATTCATCTATATATATAGGAAAAAAAGAAAACTAATGCCGGAAAGAAGTCTGCAAAGAAACAATAAAAGTAAAAAAAGTAAATAATTTGAGCTTAAAGTTGAGAAACAATTCGCTAAAAAAAAGTAAAATCAAAATATGAATGCCGGAAAGAAATAAAAATGTTGAAAAACAAGTGAAGTCTCAAAATCATAATGTTTAGGGGAAAAATCAAGAAAAATGCTAGAACAAGATAAAAAATTTGTTTGAAATAGCAAAAATAACAATGCAACCAAGAGATTAAATGAAAAAAAAAAATCAAAGGCTTAGCTAATTTATAGCAGTAGAATTTTTTTTAAACAAAATTTGTAATATATGTTATCTCCTAAATTTTTCTTCAAATTTCAAAAGGTCCAAAGATTAATTGCCAAAAAGTTATCACTTTTTAGCATAAAAATAAGGCTAGAAAAATGATGAAAAAAGATGAATACTTACCAGTAAAATGTAAGTTTCTAAGTAGCCAAATCTATTTGATTTCTGTTGCTCCGTATGTTTGCTCAAATTTCTGGTAAATATATGTCTATAAGTTGCAAAAATAAGTTTGATTTCTGTAGCAATAGACAATTCATATATGTCTGTTGCTTCGTATGTTTGCTCTTTAGAAATTCTGACTATTCATAAGACTATATGGTTTCATCTCTGTAAAGCTTTAGCAATTTTAAATTTTGAGCAAAAATTTGGTTTTTGACTAATACATAAAACTAGACCCGCGTTAATGAAAATTGCTCTAGTCTAGCAGTCCAATGGTTGAACCAACTGATTTAACTAGTTTTAATAAAAAAGATCGATTTTTAAACCCTTCTAGGTTTGAACTATAACCTGGATCACCCAACGGCCTCGTCAACAATTCAACCAGTTCGACCAGGCAGTCCGAGTTGGGTTTTAAAATCTTGTACAAGTGCTTTCAACTATATGATCATAGGAGTGGTGTCGATTCTAGTAAAAGTTTGGTTTGCTTATTTTATAATCATGAATCTAGGATGGATCATATAGCCAGTAATAGTGCTAAAGATTTTTATGAATTGATCAACTGTTTAAATGCCAGGCGTGTGGTGTTTCTAGGCTAATTTTCAAATCTTGGTTTAATATTTTATAAACAACCATGATTTGATTAATTCAAAGTGATATGCTAATGCTAAAGAAAAGTTTAAATCTAATGATACTTATTTTTATGCATGGTGTTTTATGTATGTTAGTTTGTTCATTTCATTCACAAACTAAGTGGGGGATTGTTGGAATATTTTGCGAACTGAAATGAAAATAAAACTTGTTAAATTCAAAATAAGCAACAAAAGAAAAATGCTTAGTTTAGCCTCTTAATGACCATTGTAGTGAAGAAACGATTTTGACATTTGTTGTTCATTGAATGAGACTAATTACAACGTCTCGATGATCATTATAGCGAGGAAACAGTTTTGATATTTTTTTTCCTATTAAAGGAGACTAAAGCAGCCTCTTAATGATCATTGAAGTGAGATAATTGTGCCTCTTTAGTTTTGATATCTTTTGGATTGTCTTTCCTATATAAATGACAAACTTTTGGTGAAACAAACTAATTTAGCCATTTTGATAATTTCTTAGTAAAAGACCTTTGGTTTTGCTGTTTAAAGTTCTTTATTCTTGTTATATCCTAGAAGTATATTACCTTAACCCAGAAGTAAACTACTATGTGTAGTTGGGGCAATAAACACCTTAAGAATAGTATTTGTACATGTGTCAAGAATCATCAACAAATTCCCTATTTTTTGTGAAATTTGTTAGTGAAGTTTTTGCACTATTCTATTATCTTGTTTTATTTTTCCAATAATCTAGTGAAAAGACAATCCAAGGGTCACAATATATTCAACCACTATTTCACATATTTATAGACATTTATGGACATTGAAAGGCCCCATTAAGTCCTTTCAATAGATAAAAATTGCCAAAAATGTTTCAGAAACTTTGGCTTCCAACAGACAATTAAGTTAGCCAAATTCTCACAAATCACTTGTTGAAAATCAATTAGAAAAGAAAATCAAAATCTTAAAAAGTGATAGAAGAGGTGAATATTTTCCTGTTGAATTCTCAATTTTTAGTGAACAAAATGATATTCAGAGTGTTTGGATAGATAATATTT